TCTTGCGTCAAACTCTATACAATAAAGAATATTATAAAATAAAAGAATATTCAGGGTTTGCGCAAAATTGTTTAAAAGCACTTCAATTTTACATATAAACAATAAGAAAAATATATAAGATTATAGTATATTGTATTATAATATATTTAATACCTATGTATTAATATAATAAAATTTAATAATAATTTATTTTATTATTATATAATAAAAATTTTTTCGTTAATATTATAAATAATATAATTTTCAATATTCCTCAAATATTATTGCAACATTGCAAAATATTACTTTTTGTTCAATATATATTCAACATTGCAGCTATATCTTGTAATCAGTGTTGAAAAATCAACATAAATTTCATGCAGAAAAAACATCCGCACTTCTATCTTCAACTTTACAACGTCTCATAAACGTTTTTTCAATGTTTTGTGTCGTGTAGATATGTTAGCACTGTTCCATACGGATGTTTGGGAGATTAAAAGTTAAAATTTATACCCTGATGGAAAAAATTTGCTGAAAATGCAATAAAATCGTCGAAAAGAGAAATGCAAGTTATTGAAAAGTTGCTAAAAATATTTCATGATAAATCATGATTTTCATTTATGAATTGTTATGAAAAGTGTAATGAAACAATGAATTTTAAATGAACATTGATGAAAAGTAATAAAAACATTCTGAAATATTTAATATTGTGAAATCTACTGAATTTCAATGAAAACTGAGTAAATTGTATTGAATCCTTGCTGAAACATTGATGAAAAAAATTCGTAAAAACATTTCTCAATAATTTTCAAAATTTTTCTGAATTGCGCTGAACCTTGATGAAACAATAATAATTTATAATAAATTGTAAATAATTTATGCACCTCATTTGTTGATCAATGAAAAACTTCGTGAAAAAGTTTTGAATAAATAACAAAATCGTGTTAAATTTCACTGATAATTGATGATGCTATTTAAAATTTAATTTTTTATTTTTCGATATATTAGGATATGAAAACTCTCATTGAAATGTCGATGAAAATTACTGAAATATATCGAACAGAATAATTTGTAAACAGAATATTTGTTCTATAATTAAATTATAGAACAAAAATACAACAAATTGTTTGCGTTTGACGGGATTAAACAGCGAGAATGATCAGTTATTATTTTCTTTTTAAATAACTTAGATTCGCAAAACATATAGAAAATAAATACAGTCTATTCTTTCTTGCTGCACTTTTTATTTAGCCGCATTAATTCTCTTTTCCTCTTTTTTAAATCTCAATTATACTTTTTTTTCTTAAGTTCCGAAAGTGAACATCAGCGAAGAATAACGTATCTAATATAGTAAATGTTTCTGAATGCAGCCATACGTAACCCATACAGCACAGCAATGTATTCTTATGTCCATGGAAAATACGATAAAAATAGATAACGTTAAAATTTTAAAAAGCGCGGACCTTTAGAGCGCACCTGCAAAACGTTACTTCGCGACATATGGCGCTCCCACGCGGCCTTAGCGCCGTATTGCTGGCACTCGATGCGCAACAGAGCGTGAGTTTCCTTCACAATGTCGGACAAACGTTTATGTTCTTCCGTCGCTATTTGAGTGTCCGAGCGATGTAAATTTTCCTGCATTTCCTCGATATCGTTCAAAATCCTATGCACAATAAAGATAACCCGATATTAATTGGCACACATCACCACTTTGCTGCATGACAGTTACTCCGACACGATGACGCTATGAAATGGCTGTCAGATGCGATCGATGTTTTTCCAAACTAGAAGTATACAAAGAAATTACAAACAGAACTCACCGTCGACTCTACGAAGTAAGAAAGTGATATATCCTGTTCTAAAGGTGACTATTACTCATAAGAGAATAAGAGTGAGAAAAGCGGTGAACAGATTCAGAGAAACAGGTTATCTCCAAAGTGGCCTCTGTTCTGGAGCCAACTGTAAAGACGGCTTTGTCGGGGGAGATCCTTCGTTAACTTGGCGTATTGCGCACAATTAGAACGATGGCAGGTTCAGCGCTCAGGCGGCTAATGGCGGAGTATAAACGTGAGGCTCGGCATTTTAGGCACTTTTGGCATACCGCGATAGAGTTAGCTCGCTGCAATCTGTTTAATAATGGCGTTTTTGCACGAGACTAATCTCAATTGCAACAATTCCCTTGTCTGTGCGCCGATAATACTTGACTGATTGATGCTATATGACGTATTACAGAGCTAACGTTAAACCCACCAGAAGGGATCATCGCTGGCCCGATCAACGAAGAGAATTTCTTCGAATGGGAAGCTCTCATTACGTGAGTTTAGCTTCATTTTTCCATCCCGAAGAGCACGTTCCGTCGACCAACTATTTTCTGTATCATTCATCGTTTTCCTAACCTATCGCCTCGTATATTTGACGTAGGTCTATCGGAAACCTTCGTGACGATGATTAAGATCTAACCTATAATTTTCTTTCATTTAGAAGATGTCATGACATTGGAAAAGAGAAATTTGTAATATAGAGCAGTGAGTAATTAATTAAGGATAGGAAAATCAAAATAGAATTAACATGATTGAAAAAGTAAAAGCAATGTATGACAACCGTTTTATTCCACACTAAAGGCTGAAAACACTGCGACAAAGCTAAATTTCCTCAAACAAAAGAATACTTGACGAGATGATCTTAAATCTGATGTTTAACAATCAAAACTACCATAAATTTCTCAGTTTATATATTCTTACCATACACACATATGGTTTTGATACTGTTCTGTCATCCTCTTAAAAGAAAATAAATAAATTTCAGTGGCCCAGAAGGAACATGTTTTGAAGGTGGTGTATTTCCTGCAAAATTAATATTTCCACCAGATTATCCATTGAGCCCACCAAAGATGCAGTTCACTTGTGAGATGTTTCATCCCAACAGTAAGATATGCTAATAATAAGACATATAAGCATGACAATGAGAAAATATGTTTGTGTACATGTAGATTATGTCAAATAGAACATAGAAGTTGTCTACAATTTTGCAAATAATCTTAAAATTTTGTATTGTTAATTAAAGAAGATTAATGAATAATTGTATATAATATGTAAAGAAGTTCTATGGTACTTATGTGCTATTATATGTTTGTAGGTTAGATTGGATTAAACAAAAAAATACTTTATTATTTAAATTTTTGATAAATTACTAGACTTTCAGATGTATAGATCTCTCTTGAACATAAATCAAAAGAGTCAATAAGAACCTATCTAAGAAATCAATTATGAAATGTATTGGATGTTTTCCAGCAAAAGATAGAAATGGTGTAACACTGTGTGTAGAATACAAAATATTTCAACAGTGTTATACTGCTTAACAGCAAAAATCTACAAATCTGCTTTTTATAACTGCACTGCTGAACTAGTGCAATAAATTAAAGTGAGAAAAATAATATTTGTTTCACTCCCTAAGTATGCCAGCAGTGCAGCTACAGAAAACAGACCATAAGTTTCAACATGTAAAGCATACTAGTGTCATCAAAATTTCAAAAAATTTTTTATGTGTAGTAATTATGTTAATTCTTTAATATAAGTCTAGATAATATAAAATACCCCAAAATCACCTGAAATATTTAGATGTGTTAAGAATATTCAGAATGTGATTTCAAGACATTTTTGTTTTATCTAGGAGTATTATCAACAATAGATATTACACATTAGCATCCAATAGATTTTTCTTTAAAGATTAAATATATGATATTAAAAAATAAACTAAATATTTTAATATTTACATATATAAGAATAAACTGCATTAAATTCTATTCTATTTATTTTCAGTATTGTTTACATGCTAATATTATAATAACAAGTGAATATTTGTAAAATATGTATTAAACTATAATTGTTTTTATGGAAAAATGTGTATATAGATAATAATAACTTGTTATTTACACTAACTAAAAATTTCTTCTAAATCATATGTCTATTGTAGATATGCTAAATATCTATAAAAATAAAAGTAGTAAACTGTGATGCACTCTGGTATTACATTAAGAAAATAAACTATATCCCAATAAATATTTTACATAATGTAGCACAGTGTAATGTAGTAAATTCTTACTGGAAAACATCCACTATGTCCACAAATGAACCAAGAAATAAGGCATTGAATGCCTTGAAAAAGTCATTTTCATACTTTTCTTGAGGTATAGAGTGTCTTTCCGTATTTATATCGGATGCATCCATATTTATAGTAAGTCCATAGTCGCATAATACTTGTACACTATTTTTTCTAAGGAGTTCCATTTCGATTGAGGAGAATCGAAATGTCAATTGAAACGTTCGATGTCCCATTCCTTGGTTTATTTATAGATATGAGGCGATATTTTATGACTCAAATATAACATAAATTTATAAATAACAACCAAAGTACACCAAACTGAACCAGAACATTTTCGCCAGAATGTTTTCGCATGTTTAATAACACTGGTCACCATAGTAGATGCAGATTAAGTTGGCAAGTTATTTTCGGTAGTTTTTTGGCCGCTAAATATGAATCTGTCAATAAATTTTCTCTATCGCGTCAGGTTTTTAAGAGAATTAAGGATAAATTTGCAAAAAAGCGGATTTTAAGTCATTTTGGGCAGTTTATAACTAGTAAACTAAAGCAGTTCGGAAGTTCCATAAAAGCTAAAATAAAATAAAAGTTTAAATGACGTATTTTAAGATACGCGGCAACCTATCATTAACCGCTCTAGGGAAAGTATATGTAGGTGCCTATGTTTACGGTTGGGTGAGGTGATCTACTTCACATTCCGTTCTTTTATTTTTTTTTATTTGATTTAAATTTTTTTTTTTATTTTAACGTTTTGTAATTTTTTATTTTTTTTTATTTTTGTAATTTTCTTCTATTCATATATATATGAAAGCTAAAATAAAAGTTTGAATGACGTATTTTAAGATGTGCAAAATAGTAATTTATCCGCAGCAATCTCATTATCATTAGCTGCAATACTCTAAAGGGGAAGTATATGTGGGTGCCTATGTTCTGCTTATGGCTGGGTGAGGTGGTCTACTTCACACTTCGTTTTTTTTATTATTTGATTTAAATTTTTTTTTAGTTTTAACATCTTCTAATTTTTTTATTTTTGTAATTTTTTTCTATTTATATATTCAAACTTTTATTTTAGCTTTTATGGAACCTTTGAACTGCTTGTTTATTTTTACAGTTATAAGCTGCCCAAAATGACCTAAAACCTGCTTTTTTGCACATTTATCCTTAATTTTCTCAGAAATCTGATGTAATAGAGCAAATTTACTGCCAGATTCGTATTTAGCGGCCAAAAATGTACCGAAAATTATTTGCCAAACTTAATCTGAACCTACCATGGCGACCGACGTAATGGTAGAGGCGTGACTAGTCATTTTAGTAGCTACCTGGTTGAAACCACACTATATCTAGCAAAAAAGTAAAGTAACTTTTTTTTGTTAGTTTCTGATAAATTATTAGTACGTGCCAAATGGCACGAATAAATGTAGACTATATATTTTACATATCTGTTTGTATTAAATTTATCTTAGGCTTGGTATTTCAATTAAATACTGTTGTTAATTTATGTCACGAATATTTGATTTTCCAAAGAATATAAAGTTATTTGTTGAATCTTTTGTGGTTGCACAGATATGTCTTATAATTCTCCAGTAAATATTTATACCATTGTATTAAAATTATACTTTACAATAAACTGTAAATTGTTGATGTTATGAAATTATGATTACTTACTTTTTGCATTTCTTGTTGTCGCATTATTACTTTCAATAAATAGTTGAAACGTTAACATTTTCAAACTAAAATTTAAATTTAAACTAAAAGTTGTTTTCGATATAAATCCATCCAAATTTTTAAATATTCTAAACTATTTCGCCTTTCGCGTTTAAGGTACTTATTATTTTTCTCTTCTTTACAGAAGAAGTGCTTATAAATTTTCAATATAAGTGTTTCATAATCTCTCTCTTTGTAGTTACACACTTTATTTATTAAAGAAATGCTAGAATCGATGACGAACTCGAAAAATATCGATAACGTAAAGACGATCATCACTAACACAATCGCGCTATCTTTTCGTATTTCTTATACATACATACAGAACTTACGTAAATGTATGCTGCTTTGTTTTCTTATACTCAGCGGAAAACCTAACCACGCACATATAGAAAGCACGTAGAAATCCTTCTGCAAACTTTTCCGATATTCTTAAGCTTCTGAATTTAGATGCGCAGGTACAACAATGTTTTTCAACATTTTTCTGTTTGGCGCATCCACACTTTCGATATGTACAAGCTGTGAAACTTTTGAATTAGACAAATATTATGCTAACACCCACTTGAGATTTTATATTTAAATTATTTTTTTCGTTTTCATTACATATTGAGCAATGTTCCAATTAATTTTTGCACGTATTTTCATTGCGTAAAAGCATTTGTAATTCTGTACAACCAATACGACGTAAACCTTGCAGAACAATGTCAGTATTTTGTCGATTAAAGTTTTCAGATTTTCAGCGTCTTCTTAAAATAAATACGCTTTAAAACTTATTTTTGTATTCTACTCATGTAACAGTAAGAAATTATCTTCAAATAGTTTCAGATTTACACATATAGAAAGGAGCGAATACGTTTTAATGCAATATAACAAATGAAGAGTGGAGTAACTTTTTTTTTGTTCAGTTTGATTTAATCTCTCTCTCTCTTCCTCCTTTTTTCCCTCCTTGTCTCTCTTTCTCTCCCTTTCTCTCTCTCAATACACGACAGCAAGCGTTGACATGTTAGAGCTCACCGCATCACGCGTGATCATTCACTGATCCTTTTTAATCAATAACAGAAAATTTCACATGGTTATTTGCAAAACAGTAAAGGTCTTTTATATTTAGTTTGACCTAATTTACATATATATGAGAGGTTTGCCATTTATCATCAGATAAATAAATACATATCCTAATAGTAAAATATATAAGACATAACAAGTCATTATTTTTTATCTGCATATAGAAAATTTAGTTCTCTTTTTTCCTTAGTTTATGCAGATGGAAGAGTTTGCATAAGTATACTGCATGCACCCGGCGATGACCCGATGGGTTATGAAAGCAGCGCAGAAAGATGGAGTCCGGTGCAGAGCGTTGAAAAAATACTGTTGAGTGTGGTAAGTATGTTGGCTGAACCAAATGATGAGAGCGGCGCCAACGTGGACGCCGCTAAGATGTGGAGGGAAGATCGCAGTGAATTCGAAAAAATTGCTCAAAAACTGGTGAGAAAAACTCTGGGTATTCCACCTTAAGTACGCGAAGTCTATTAAAAAAAGAAAAAGATACTTCTAACGATTGTTATTGTTGTCTTTATGTTGCTCCTCGCAACTACTATGAGAACACTGTACGAAATAATAAATATCTGTGGAACGAACGAATCATTTATGTGCAAATTATTCTATACCTATGGTGCATAAGACAAATAATATGTATAATGTGATCGGTCACAACTGATTCTATCAAGGATCGTAATTTCTCGAAATAATCATGAATACAAGCTTCAATTTTTACGATACAACGATACAGCAGGAGTCGACCGTGTTAATCTCAAAAAATGTGTTTTATTTTCAACATTGCAGTACAAACATGAGTAATCAAATACATACGCGATTACTTCATACGCTTACGTATACCATTCCATTGTGACGAACCGATAACGAAGGACAGGACTCGCTTCTTGTGCTTTTGGGTGCGTGATTAATGTGATTGAATGTTAGAGCACTTAAAATTACGAAATGATCCCACGAATTACCCTACAGCGATGTTAAAGTAATTATCACATTCGCAGATGGTGTTACGTTATTCCCGTATGAGTGTACACCGGTGTAAACTTGACACATTGTCAACCGATAAATTCTTTCGGACACTCTCAACTCAAATATCTGCACACATGCAGATGAAATAAATACACTTTTGACACTTTACAAAGGTGTACGCGGAGATACGGAAACGAGCGGAGTAGAGTAGCGGATTTTTCTTTCATTGAAAACATTTCTGAAAAATGAATAATTCATCGGCAGAAAACAGGGTTAAACGGAATCGCGTTTTTTCGCAATCAGTTATCCTATTTTTATCTCTATGGAGTTATGCGAGTGTGCCGATCGAGAGATCGTCGACATGCTGATAGAAATTCCGGAACGTATGTATATTTATTTATACATATATATCTCATCGTATTTACAAAATTAAAAAATCGCAGAAGACGTCTGATTATTGTGCACGTCCCACTCTGATAACAATCGAACTTGGTGACGAAGATACAAGATGTCTCATTTAAGGCGTCTCGGTCCAAGTGATGTCGAGAAATTTTCTTTGAAAGAGAGAGCATTTTTCTTGATTCCAAGGACAATCGTATTAAAAGTGAAATCTCTTTAATTTTTCCCCTTTTTCAAATTATTTTCTCTTATTTTTCGTGTCCTTATAGTGTCTAACACATACATGCATGCACACGAGTCGCTTTACGCGAAACACCCTGTACATTAGACTAGAATAAATAAATCAGTACACTTTGTTGTATACAATAAGTGATTTTCGTGATCGAATTGCAAGTCTGACTTCAAGCATCGGACGAGTCCATGTTTCGAAGAGATTGACTCTTCATTATGTTCCTCGTATCGAGCGCTTAACGCTCACAGCTTTGACATGTGCTGGCAACAGATGAAAACTTGGATATTTGATTATAAATTTGCAAAAAAAGGTTTTTACTTGTTACATTAAAAAATGAACCCGCTCGTTCCTTGTAACCGGACCTTCGCAATTCGCTTCCTTTCTTATTCTTTCTCTCTTTTTGCTTGGATTTAAACGTCAGCAAGAATAAACACAAAGACTTTGCACGTATTGGTATTTTATTAGTAAACAATACTGAATTCCAACTGAAAAATGCAGTATTTGTGACTAGCATTCGGCAATTGTATGTAAAACAATAAGATTTTAATGTATCTTGTACCGCGCGCCGAAGTACAACATCTCATACATTTCTTCAATATCTTACAAAATCGTTTTTTGATCCCCCTTTTCCCTCCCATATACTCTAAATAATTTTTTTGCCGAATTGCGCAAATCTGCCGAAATATATATATATATATATATATATATATATATATATATATATATATTTTTTTTTTTACAAGATCATTGGTTCAATTATATATATATATGTGTGTGTGTGTGTGTGTGTGTGTGTGTGTAAAATTGAACCAATGATCGTGTAAAAAAAAAATATATATATATAATTAAAATAATGATCGTATAAAAACTTTTACACGCAAGATTACATATTCAACACCGAACAAGAAATATAAGATGCCGTACTCCGGGTACAGCTGCATACTTTGGCATACACGAGAGGATGCATTCCACATTCCGCGCCAAGCGATCGAGCTCGATCGAGGACTACTGAACGAATTTACCACGTTTTTCACAACCAGGGCCGGAAAAGCTACGTTCCGTGGCGCAAAGTGTCCCGCCTGAAGCATTGCGTTTCGAGACTTCATTATGCGTCTGACAGCGTGCGATAGCGGGACATCCTACGTGTAAACGCTCGATTCGTCTAAACGTTTCCAGCATTCGCTCGACGCGAGACGGCGATCTAATTGCGATCGTCCGCTTTATCAGTAATATCACATTTCGCTAGAAGAAGTGTACATTCAAAGGCAATCGCTCCTTCGCGGCGCCGACGTCGAAAGTGTTACAAATATACAAAAACATTTGACACGTACACCTCCCGTCGCCTAATTCACGCAATCGACGATCGAAAACGGGGACTTGTTGAGCTACCTGGACGAGCCTTCGCTGGGGCTGCGAGCGTGCTCGTGTTTTTAATGCTAAACGCAACTACTTTCGATTTGCACTGTTCAATTCGTTCAATCTTGATTGTTGAGATTTCGAAACGTCACGCGCTTCGATCATTATGATATAAATGCGCTTTCTTAGTAATCGTGATAGCTTCTCGAACATGCTACAGCCCTAGGAAGTTTCCTGCTTGGCGCGGAACGCTGTGTTTTCCTTATAGTTAATTTTTAGAGCCGGTTGCACCAACTGTGGCTAAAACGAAAACGATCAGCATTAACTGCGGTTAAATAAAGTTTTTTTTTTATCTATATTTATATACGTTTTCGGCTAAGACTATGGTTTCTTTCTCTCTCTACAGAATTTTAATTAAGGTACAACTAATCGCAAGCTTGACGATTGGGGTACTAACGTTAAGCGCTAATCACACTCGACTGAAAATTATTTAAATGAATTCAAACTAGCTCGATATCAATTCAGTCAAGGTCAATTAGATTAAGCCAAAATCGATTGTTTAATTAAAAGTAATTTCAATATAAATTAATTCGTAAAATCTACTATGTTACAATTGTTAGCTAAAATTAGTTAAAATTAACTAAGCTTTACGCACGGTTAATCGAGAATTCCTCGTCTCGCTCGTTGCTATATCTTAAAATTAAATGCGATCACGCGCTGTCACTTCGGTTAACCGAGCCTGTTAATGCAACTGACCCTTAAAACGTAATCTTATTAAATAAAATGCTTACGCTCTCTTAATAACTACAACTTCCTCGCAAGCGAGGACACGCGTCGTGTATGTACGTGTCTGAGTGTGTGTCTGTGAGTCGTGTGCAACTTACGTCGACGTAAATACGTTCGTTATAAAACCTTACTAATTCTGTTCTATATACGTATACCTCCCTCTGTGACTGTGAGGTACTGTGGTGCCGTTATTAATCGTTAACTATATGCACTATAGCCTCACGCCGGATTCGCTTAGTAGTCCATTGGACATCCTCGTTAATATTAATAGTAATCGTATTGCAAAATCTATGACCGAGTGGGTATTGGGTACAAAATTTATTCATGTTGTGTATGTTACGTGTGTTTTATATATGTATGTCCTGTTCTGGTGTATACATGTATGTATGTTTGTGTATATGTGTGTGTTCTTCAATTTATCAAAGCGCAAAAACAGAATCTTTTTAAGCGATGCACTTCGTGGGAGAAACCACTCAAATTATGTTCGCTTGTAGCTCCAGATATTAATTAATTCAATTAACGAATCATTTCACAATGATATTATATTATAAGAAGAAAAACATGATGATAATAATGATGATGATGATGACGAGAAATATGACGACAAAAAAGAAAAATTGGGAGTCTTAATACAAATAAAAGTGTCCTCACGACATTCAGTTACAAATTACGACAGTAATTTCTTTGCAAGATCTATTGCGATATTAATGCCACGTTGTTTAAGGTTTAGGGAACATCAAAAGATAAAAATTGATCGGAGTAAATCCCTATCTACTGAGAAGCGTGGAAATATTATGTCATACTATCTTCGGAAGCGCGTAATAATAATAATATAATATTTCAACAATAAAGTTACAAAGTTGAAAGAGAAGGGGACAGGCGGAGAGAGGGAGAAACGCGAGAAAGAAAATACAAAAATAAATTAATAGACTTTTACGTTACCTTTTGCATATCCCATCAATTTTCGAGTGTTATTGTACAGCGCTGCGTTACTAGCGTGTTCCAGCACAAAGTAATGAACGCGCGATTTATTTTATTAACTAATTGTACAAAATGAAAGCTATAATAATTCTGCATAGCATCAGTCACTAATGTTTTGCATTAACAATTTCAATAATATGTTCATCAGTTTGAGAAACTTAAACGAGCAAGAAATTAACGCAATCGAATTGTGCACTGCAACATTAGGTACCCTTTACATATTGCCAGAAGTCCATTTGGTTATTTATATATTTGTAGAAGTTCTTATAGCTGAAATAACTTTCGCTGATTTTGCGTGATCGATTCGTAAAAGATTCCGGAAAGATCCGGGCGACTTGCACTGTTCTATGTTCCCTATCTGTTTAAGTTAGTCATCTAGTGGTAAGTCAGTCTGAAATAACTAAATCGACTTTAAATTTGTCCTAAATTGCATACAAGTGGGAGAAGGAGCACCCTCTATTCTTGAGTCTAATCAGAAGTTCGGCTTCAATGAACAGATGCAGAATATAATTTCTTCAATTGAATTCTGACGTTAATTCGCGAAAGCTTTGACAAAAAATGCAAGTATGGCACGCAATTTTTTTTACTTTTTTTTCTTCATCCGATCATTGCGTTTCTATACGTGTATACACACACACACATTCATACATACATATACACACACATATATATACACACATACACACATACATACATACATACATACATACATACATACATACATACATACATATATACAGGGTGTCTCACACTCTCCTTCGGGCATTTTGTGGGGACGTAGGTTGAGATGAACATAAAAGTCCTATACCGTTTTGCAAATAATCATATAGATTTTTAATTATTAATTAAAGAAGATGAGTGCATTATCACGCAAAATCGTGCAATAATCTTCTTTAATTAATAATTAAAAATTAATTTGATTATTTGGAAAATGGTAGAGGACTTTTTTGCTCAATTTGACCTAAAGTATAAATATACGACGGCAGTCGTCGCTACTATAACTCATGCACCATATCTTGCATCATCATTTACAAGTTTTCTACAATTAATATCTCGATAATTATAGCGAATATCGCAAAACGATATAGGACTTTTCTGTTCACCTCAACCTGTTCTACGTCCCCACAAAATGCCCAGAGAAGAGTGTGAGATACTCTACACACAAACTCTCTCTCTCTCTCTCTCTCTCTCTCTCTCTCTCTCTCTCTCTCTCTCTCTCTCT